TCGGACGAAGTGGTCTTGACACCAGAGAAAGCAAGTATTGGCGAGGAAAGAGATGAAGGGATTGGCCACTCATAAACACCATCTTTAGGTTTGCCCGTCAAAAGGATTGCCCCCGTGCGTAGAGCCTTCACATGAAAAAAAGATGGTGAGAATTCTATAGAAACATGATTATCACAACAAAATTGATAGATGGAAATTAAGTTCTTTTGCATAGAGGGAACACAAAGGACACTATGTAAAGTAAATGTTTGTGAATGAGAGGGTAAGATGGCGGAACCAGTGTGAGTGATTTGAAGACCGGAACCATCGCCAATAACAACATCATCTGAACCGTGATATGGGCTATGAAGAGAGAGATTACTCAAGTCGGACGTGACATGGTGCGATGCTCCACTGTCCAATAGCCAAGGAGAAGTGTTGTTGGTTGTAAGAACAACATGGTTTGCACGAGGTTGCCACGGTGTAGACGGACGAGATCCGTTGTGGCTATGTGGGCGAGGATTTGGTGATGGTTGATGAGAAATAAGGCGAAACATAGGGCAATGCTTGGCGGTATGACCTTGAGCTCCACAGGCCTGGCAACGACCAAGGTAAGGTTTGGGTGGTCGTGCGATGGGATTGGGTGAAGAACTGGAGTACGGCAGATTGGCCGAAGAGGGGCGCCAGTTTGGACGGTATCTTGATGCTGTTGGATTTGCTGTCACAGGGAGTGGGAGATGGATGGATTGGTTGGATTGAATTGAGGCTTCTTTGTTAAGTAGTTTCTCATGGAGTTCGAGGAACGAGATGGGTGAGTCGCGAGCATTGACGGCATCAATAATGGATCTGTATTCATCTCCAAGCCCGTCAAGAACTCTATCGATTAGATCCTCATTGTCAACTGGTTTACCAAGGAGAGCAAGTTCGTCTGAACGAGCTTTGATGGTGTTCATATATTCAGTGATTGACGACGAGCCCTTCGTGCACCGTTTCAACTGATCTTTTAATTGCCTAATGTGACCACGTGATGGTTTGGCATATGTATTGAATAGGGTATTCCAAGCGTCAAGTGAAATGTCGTGCGAGCAATGAGTGGTTGTAAAGGAACTGATATAGCACCAAGGAGAGCACTAAAAATCAGTCGATCTTGACGTTGCCAAAGGGTATAAGCCGGGTTTGGAGAGCTGACACCATTAGTGGTGAGCATGGGGGCTGGTATGGTTTGAGTCTGCTCAATAAAACCTTGCAGATCATAGCCTTGAAGGAGAGAATGGATTTGTAGACTCCATGTGAGATAATTGGTGGGAAAGAGTTTTGTAATATTTGATAGATTTATGGTGAATAAAGTATTTTGTGGGTCTGGGGTATTATTGAGGGTGGTATGTGTGGTGGTGGCAGAAGGATTTTCATCAATAGCCATTAAAGAGATGGGTGGAAAGTTATGTGATGTGGTGGCGGAAGAAAAAAAAATTTGAAGAAGAAAACCACAGCCCAGGATTATATTGCTCTGGATACCATGTTGAAGTGAAAGAGAGAATGGTGACTTGATTTTTCATTAACCGAGAGCAAGAATATATACAAGAATATTGCTAGGGTTTGCACCTATCTATGGTAAATTGCTAAACATAAGTAATTACAAAATACAAGGAAAGAGAATATCTTTAATATATATTTCCTCTAATACTACTTATTGTTAGGTGAAATACTAACATGCAAGTGCACGTATCACAAACAAGTAGTAAAAGTGGACTCCTGAGAGTCGAATGTCAATCCCACAGACAATAATTCAATTATCTAATTCTATGTACCGAATTTTACCAACTATATTCTTATCCAACAGAAAGGTTGTGAACGTTTTCTAATCTAAATTATTAAATAGCTAAGAAATCAAGCAAACACAATAAAATATCAATGAAAGAGGACCTAGGACTTTATTTTCACCTCTATGCATTAATTCGTCCCCCAATTAAACCTCTATCATGCAAGTTACGACTTCTGATTATCAACCCGAGACAAGAGATTACTTATAATACGTTGTCGCATATATTGTACGTCTATTATTCACAAACAACTCACTATATATCTATGCAAACCAGTTATGAATAAATCATTAAATATCAAGTCTCTTCATCTAAGGTGATATTTGTATGTCTACAATATCATATGCAATTAACACACTAATCTAGTGGAAACTACTTGAAGGCTCTTCTATCCCTGTTATAATTATTAAAACGATTTGTGGATTAAATTTTAACAATAACACATACCAACATTAGCTAGATTAATGCACTAAATAAACTCTAATAGAAGAAATAATCAGAAATCAAAATTGCATAATATCAGAAAACTAGGTTCAAAATCACCACATAGGGTTCCGACAAAATCATAGATTAAAAGTTTTAGCTACTCATGTTCTTAAACGAAAAGCAACAAAATAAATTAAAATACATAGATTAAGAAGAAGAATAAAAGAAAAAAACTATGATAGAAGATTTGTCAAGTCTTCGTCTTTGCTTCTCCGTTTACTCGCTTTTGTAGCTCTAAAAAAGCGTAAAATTAAGGTCTTGATTTTCGCGCAAGGTGTTGCTCTTATATAGTGCGTATACTTGGTAAAAGGGTCAGGGATTCCTTGTACAAATAAAATTCTCTTTCCGCGCTCGAATAAAATCTCAGACGGTCGTCCGTAAATTAGTTCATTTTCTCGGAATATGTTGATGATAACACCTACATGCAAGTGCATGTATCGAACAAGTAATATAGTGGACAATTGAGTTCGAATCGATCCCACGAAGAATATTCAACTATTCAATTATAAGCGCTACATTCTACACCTATGTTTAAGCCCACCCAACACAGTCGAATGTTGAGTTGATTCAACTAAACTAAACTAAACTAAACTAATAATATAAATTAACTAAAAAAAGAAAAACAAGTAAGCAATAACACGAAGAGTGATCAAATTAAAAAGCCTTAGGATTTTATCTTGCCCCTGTGTGATTATCGATTCCCCAATTTCATCAATTATGCAACCAACTAATTCGGATAACTAACCTGAGATGCTAATTTATTCATAAATTGCTTCCGCGTGTATTATGACTCGATTAGTCAGAACTAAATTATTGTATTCATACGCAATTCAATCAAGTAAAAAACACTGAGCACAAATCTCAATAATAGCTACCTAAGAGGTTAGCTATATTCCTATGATAACACAACAAAGGTTCTTCTACCACAATTCTAATTGTTGAACCGATCTTCCGAGACTTGCATTCAACAATAACAATATAGCACATAAAGTGATCAAGTCATGCACTTAATAAATCAATTAGAAGAAATAATCTTAAACTTATACTTGCATAAACTCATAGAATTGAGTTCACAAATCCCACATAAAACTCGAATAAAAAATCCAAAAAACTAAAATTTTAGATACTCATAATTATAATAAAAATAGAAATATAATTCATAATAAAAGAAAATAAAACTATGTTTGAAATTTTTGAGTTACTGTCTTCCCTTCTAACTTCTTGCTCCGAATTGTGAGATTGGACCCCTAGTTTTCGTACTTGAGGTTTTTTTTTAATATGGTGTCAAGACTCGGTATCAAGTAGGGATTTTCTTGTGCTATTAAAATTCCTAACCGGGCAAAAATCAATATTTCGAAAGGCCGCCCGAGTTTCATGTAAAACTTTCGGAAGACCGTCTCATTTTCTGAGACTCTCTGCCTCTTTTTGCAAAACCGGATGGCCATCCGATTCTGCAGTGTAATTCTGGGACGACCGTCCGAGACTTCTTCTGGTCTCCGTTTGACTTTATGTCCATTTTAGCTTGTTTCCGGTCTCCGGCGTTGACTTTTTTTTTTTAATTTGTTTTTCTTAGATAAAAAATATTTTAATTAATATTACTGTCTTGACTACTAAATTACTGTCTCAGACATTAATATTACTGTTTGAGACAGTAATATTATGAATATCATTTTCCCGAACAGTAATATTATTAATATTATTGTCTAAGACAGTTAAATTACTGTTGGAGACAGTAATTTAGCAACGAATGCAATAATAGTAATTAAAACAATTTCTTTTAAGAAAAAAAAGAGTCAATTAACAGTTAAATTACTGTCTCCGATAGTTAAATAACTGCTGGAGACAGTAATTTAGCAAGGAATACAGTAATATTAATTAAAAATATTTTTTGAAGAATAAAAAAGTCAATTAACAGTTAAATTACTGCCTCCGACAGTTAAATAACTGCTGGAGACAGTAATTTAGCAACGAATACAGTAATATTAATTAAAAATATTGTTTTAAGAATAAAAAAGTCAATTAACAGTTAAATTACTGTCTCCAACAATTAAATAACTGTTGGAGACAGTAATTTAGCAACGAATACAGTAATATAAGTAAAATATTTTTGAAGGAAAAAAAAATAAAAAGGTCAATTAACAGTTAAATTACTGTCTCCGGCAGTTATTACGACAGTCAAATAACTGCGGGAGACAATAATTTAGCAGCTAAGACAGTAATATTAATTAAAATATTTTTTTTAAGAAAAGAAAAAAAAAAGAAAAAAAACAAGTCAACGCCGGAGACCCGGCGGTCAACGGCAGTTGACCGGCCGGAAACAAATTTCCTTATTTACAAATAAGTTTGAATGGGCGAATTTATTTAAAAGACAAAAATGTTGAATGTCCCTCTTTTAATTAAGTGCCCTTATCATGTGCCTATTTCTCATTTACCCTTCCCTAATAATCCCATTCTAAATAGTAAATCCATAAAAAGAGTACTGGATTTATAATAGGATAAATTAATATATTTTAATTAATATCTAACTAATATCTACTGGTTTAACTTTAACGATCCCATAAAGAGTATTGGATTTATAATAGGATAACTAAAAATATATTTTAATTAGGATAATATATTAAGCGCATGCATGCAAGAGAGACTCCTATCCTAAACTAAATACAACTACTCTCTCCCTATATATACAACTGCCCGCCCAGTTATTCTCATAGCATAATTTAATTGATTTGATTTCTCTCTCTCGATCACATACATATATCGCCCCTCTTCTCTATCTAGTTTTAATTAGTTTCAATGGGTGGTGTTTCGTTTGACGGAGGAAGTCCTCCACCTTCGTACCCCGGCAAACTCACACCCTATGTTCTCCTAACTGTTTTGGCCGGAGCCGCCGGTGGTTTGATTTTTGGCTACGATCTTGGTATATCTGGTACGTATATATATACCTCCTACTTATAATCCTTATGAATTACTATCTATCTATATATATATGATATATTCTTATGAATTATTTTGACACCAATCTGTCTTTCTTGAATTATTAGGTGGGGTGACTTCTATGGCGCCTTTCTTGGAAAAGTTCTTCCCCGACGTTTACGAGAGGCAACAATCGATCACGTCGACCAACCAGTACTGCAAGTTTAACAGCCCTACACTCCAATTGTTCACATCCTCCTTGTACTTGGCTGCCCTCTTCGCCTCCTTAGCCGCGGGGGAGGTCACCAAGAAATTCGGCCGTCGTATATCCATGATGATGGCCGGATTTATCTTCTTGTTCGGCGCCGCCCTCAACGCCGGTGCTGTCCATCTATCCATGCTCATCTTGGGCCGTATTCTACTTGGCATCGGCATTGGCTTTGCTAATCAGGTATTTTATCTTTTTATTTATTTTTCTCTGTTTTTAAATATGGTTATGCATGATATTTAATTTACTAAACCCAATTAATTTCTTGAATTAACGTGTGCAGTCGGTGCCTTTGTATCTTTCCGAGATGTCTCCGTACAACTACCGTGGAAGGTTCAACATTTGTTTCCAGTTGATGATCACAATTGGGATACTATGCGCCAATTTGATCAACTTCGGGACGGCCAAGATAAGCGGCGGCTGGGGGTGGCGCCTGAGCTTGGGCCTTGCCGGAGTCCCCGCCGTGATAATCCTCATCGCTTCCTTCTTCCTCTCCGACACACCCAACTCCATGGTCCAAAGAGGGAGGGAGATTGAAGCCAAAGCCCTTCTGAAGCGCATACGTGGCGTTGATGACGTGGACGCCGAATTCAACGACATGCTGGCGGCCAAGAACGAAGCAGACCTCGTGGAGAGTCCGTGGAGGAATCTTTTTGGAACAAAGTGCTACAGACCCCAACTTGCCATGTCCATTCTCATCCCTTTCTTCCAGCAGTTCACCGGAATCAACGTCATCATGTTCTACGCTCCAGTGCTCTTCCAGAGCCTCGGTTTCGGTTCGGACGCCTCACTTATCTCGTCAGTGATCACCGGCGTTGTCAACATGTTTGCCACCGGAGTGTCAATCTATGGATCCGATCGGTGGGGGAGGAGGAGCCTCTTCCTAGAAGGCGGCGTGCAAATGTTCATTTTCCAGTCACTCATAGCGGGGCTAATCGGGTGGAGATTCGGGGTGTCGGGAAACGTGACGGATATACCCTTTTGGTTCGCCGCGGTGGTGGTCGTGTGCATATGCGTGTACGTAATGGGGTTCGCTTGGTCGTGGGGCCCGTTGGGCTGGTTGTACCCGAGCGAGATATTCCCTCTTGAGGTTCGGTCGGCTGCACAGAGCGTAACGGTGGCCGTCAACATGGCCTTCACATTCATAGTCGGGCAATGCTTCCTCACAATGCTCTGCTCAATGAAGTACGGTCTGTTCATATTCTTTGCATTCTTCGTGGCGGTGATGACATTGTTCTGCTATTTCTTCATGCCGGAGACAAAGAATATTCCGATCGAGGAGATGACGCAGGTCTGGAGGAGCCATTGGTTCTGGAAGAGGTTTATGAATGAGCCAAATGACCCTGTCAATAAGGCCATCGCCATGAGCAAATTGAGAGACCGAGTTTGATATATCTAGGGAACGTACTCTTGCGTTTTATTTTTCTATTATTGCTAATTGCTGCTTTTGTATATAAATATTTAGACGTAGATAGTTTAATTAGTTGGAGGAGGAACCAAACATATTATCGTTTCTCAATATATATATATATTTTTATTCTTCAATATATGACATTTTTTCATGTTTTGTTTTTTGGGGTTTTATGCAAAAGTCCCCAACCAAACATGTTTATTATTTTAGGTGATATATCTCTTTCACCAATAAGTAGGGGTGAAAATCGGACGGAATGGATCGGAAATAGCTTTTTCGGAAAATTTCCAATTTTTTTCGGAAGTAAAAAATGGGTTCCAAATTTCGGAATCGGCGGAATTTCGGAAATTACATTAATTTATAATTTATGCTCCAAATTCGGAAATTACATTAGTTTTCACAATATTTTTCTATCTTTTTTGAAATTTTGCAAGAAAATCCAAAATAGAATTCGAGAAAACGCAATAATAAAAATACATGTAGGAACAACAAATCGAAAATTTGAAACATAGATTTTCTTATAAGTAAAAATGCAACACAAAGTTTCTTATACCAATTAATTTTTAAATATAATGTTTTAATTTACTTGATCCTTCGTTACTTATATTTTCCATATAAAATATAACATAAGTTCTATTGTGGAATTACAAAATAAATCATAAAACTACATTATATATTTCGAAAAACAATTAAAATATTCGGAACTAAAATCAGATTGGAAATCGAAATTTCCGAAAATTTAAAATATCATTCCAATTCCGTTCCAATTAAATTCGGAAGAATCGGAAATCGGAACTTCGGAAATCGGAATGAAAAATACGGTTCCAAATTTGGATATTTTCGGATCGGAATTGGCCGAATTCGGAAATTTCATTCCAATTTTCACCCCTACCAATAAGCCTATCCCTTTAATATTTATTATGACTAAAGGAAACATTAATGTATATCCCAATATTACCCTCAACCATTTATACCCAATTCTTAATTGTACCCCAATTTATCAATTCTATCCACAAAAATTCAATTTAATCTCAATTTGACCCCAAATTTAAGAAATTACTCAATTTTGACCCAATAATATTACTGTGGTTGACGGTAATATTATTGTTGTTATAGTAATATTGCTGTCAACCACATCAATATTATTATTTTGTTCGGATTTTTTGTTTGTTTGAGTTATTCACGGAGTAACGTAATAATATTACTGTCTATTATTGTAATATTACTGTGGTTGACGGTAATATTACTGTTGCTATAGTAATATTACTGTCACTCACACTAATATTAATTCTTTTGTTTTTTTTATTATGTTTACATTTGTTGAACGGTCAACATTGTAATATTACTTTATTACACAATAATAATGAGTTTTGTTGTGTTAATATTAACTAATAACCATACCCGTGCGCTACACGGGTGGCATTGCAAAACGGAAGAAAATAATTATTTAAATACATGACAATAAAAATTATAATAAAAAAAATTATTGAATAATATTAAAATATGTTTGACCCTGGATTTGTTTTTCCAGCAAGATTCCTGCCGTTGACCTGGCGGTTCTCCAACGTCGTTTTTTTTTGGCTTTTTTTTTAAAACTCTTTTTTTCTGAAAAAAATTTCCGTCCGGTCAACCGTCGTTGACCGCCAATCTCCGACCTTAATTTTTTTTTCTTTCTAAATTATTGTGTTAACAACAAAATTATTGTGTTATCACAAAATATTTATGTTATTGCTATGTGCCTTGAGGACACAAGCCAAGTATTTCATAATGAAAATGTGTCTAGAAGACACCGAACAAATTATTATTGCTTCATTTTCAAGAAACGAGTACTTAATTTGAAGTATGTGTCTTGAATACATAAGTAAAAGTAACATTACATCTAGTTACTTATGCAGAAGAAGAGAGATAAATATTTGATCCCATTTTACTTCATCAAAGATATAAAATATCCTTGAAATATTCTGATTTTTCTTTCTATTCTAAATTTTGTTGTGACTAGCTCGTACAAAATTTGCCCACTTGGTTTTGTAGTGTTTGTTATAAGAAGAAGAATAAGACAATTACATGCTACAATAATACGACAACTAAAAATAATTTTCCTCCGCTAAGTTGCTATTCTAAGGATATAAAACGAAAAGATACATTGTTTAGCACAAATCTTGTAACACTCGAATCTTAGTGCTCGCTTGCTTCAAATCAAAGAAAATGAAAATTAATTATTGAAAATAAGGGACATCAAAATCAACAAAAAAACCAAAATTTTCGATGATGGAGAAATAATGCCAGTAGAGAGAAACTGAGATGTGCCTGGGAAGGTGAGAGAACACGTGGGGAAGAGAAGTTGCACCAGTTGAGAAGAGAAATTGAAGAAGAGCAATTCGTTCTATGTCGGTTGTTATTGCTCGATGAAAGGGGAAATAAAAAATTAACCTGCAGCGCAGCGGAAAGAAAAAAAATTAAGGAAACAAAACTCCATAAAATAAACACATACGAATTCTAGAAACCTTTGAGGACGGTCACATATAATTTAATTTATCGCCACCAACAAAAACATGCGAAAAGGCAAAATACAAACTATATGTTGTAAGCAAACTTAAACAAAATACGTATCTACAAAACCAAAATAAAAAAAATAACAGAGCAAGGGGAAGAAACTTTTGAGCAAGGGAAAAGAATACATAAATCTATATCAGATATGGCAATAAATGATTTGTAGGGAAATAGAAGTGTTCGAACCTATTGATAAGCAAGAATATTGAGAATGGAGATAAAGAAGGGAATTAACTATTAAGCAGTGATGTCAAAAGCCAATGGAATCTCACAGGGAATCTATAAAATTTGTACGATAATGAAGAATTGAGATGAGATCGTGTCCCTCATGAAGATCGTGGTTGTAGAGGTTAAAGAAAGATCGTGTGTTTAGTTTTTACTGCATCGGTTAAAGAATGATCGTAATTCAGTTTTATTGGTAACCACAAAATACGGAAGCTTATGTTTTATATATATTCATCGTGTATTCAATTTTGTACAAATGAGAGGGCAATTTTTATTTATTTTATTTATTTATTGAGAAACCGTATGAAAAAACTGCTAAGATATGAATTGTCAAAAGTACCCCTAGGTTTAGGTCGAGGGTTATAGGTCAAAATATCTTTCTTTTATATATAAGATGTGCTAGAGATTAATATAGCAATATTACTGTGTTAAACTATAGTTTAGTTAATTTTACTGTGTTTAACAGTAATATAGTTAATATTACTGTCAATCACAGCAATATTGCTATTTAAACGGGAAAAAAAAAGTTACAGAAAAAAAAAGAAGAAAAAAAACTGGAGAGGAAAAAAGTCAACGCCGGAATACGGAAGAAAGAAAAAGTCAACGCCGGAATACGGAAGAAAGAAAAAAAAAAACAGTGGAAAAGTCACCGCCGGATTCCGGCGGGAAAAAAAGTTTGAAAAAAAAAATTGAAAAAAAAAAGTTTTGGGTCAAAATTGAAAAATTTGTGAAATTTGGGGTCAAATTGAAGTGAAATTAAGTTAAGGATTAAATTGGAGCATATTAGAGTATGAGGGGTTATAAAAATCTGGACCATGTGTGGACTTATTCGTAAAGAAGATTTTTGTCTGGATCTCTTTATGAATAAGTACCAATTGATGGGTTTATTTGTAATATGCCCTTGTTTTTTAAGTTAATTGTGACTTTTCCAAATATGTATAAAATTTGGCATTTGTACACAATTCATTTTGAATCCAAACAAACTTGCCGTTGGAAGTTATTGTGCTAAATTCAAATTATGTTGATTCAAGACTTTTTCGACCCTACACCCAGAGATAAACATCGAGTGGGTCTTCTGCTGCCACCTGTCCTTTTTTTTTTTTTTGTATATATATAATATATTTCCGGCTAGCATATATCTTTAGGGGTTTTAGAAAAGAAAAAAAAAAAGACACGTGGCAGTAGAAGACCCGCCCGGTATTTATCACCGGGTGTAGGGTCGAAGGAGCCGTTGATTCAACATGAGAGGAACTAAATGCACATAGGTCCACACAAAAAAACAATCTTACAAATAAAACCATACTCATTTCTATCAATTTCATCCATTATACTCTAACTTCCTCAAATTACACATTGACCCTAGATTTGAACAAACATATCTCATTAACCCCCATTTTAATATTTTTTTGAAAAAAAAAATTCTTTTTTTGACCCTGAATTTTTTTCCCAGCAAGATTCCCGCGTTGACCTGGCGGTTCTCCAACGTCGTTTTTTTTTGGCTTTTTTTTTAAAACTATTTTTTTCTGAAAGAATTTTCCGTCCGGTCAACCGTCGTTGACCGCCAATCTCCGACCTTAATTTTTTTTTTCTTTCTAAATTATTGTGTTAACAAAAAAATTATTGTCTGAAATAGTAATATTGGATACCAAAACAGTAATATTACTAATGTTACTGTCCCAACAGTAATATTACTAATATTACTGTCCCAAAGAGTAATATTATTGCATGCTACGGTAATATTACGGACGGAAACAATAATACTATGGTCGAATAAGGCAAATTTGCAGGTCAAGACGATTAAATTAATTAATACAGTAAAATTACTGTCTCTGATAGTTAAATTACTGTCTCCGAGAGTTAAATTACTGTTTTAGACAATAACTTAGAAGTCAAGACAGTAATATTAATTAAAATATTTTTTTTAAGAAACAATAAAATTAAAAAAAAAAAAAAAAAAAAAAAAAAAAAAAAAAAAAAAAAACAAAACGTCAACACCTGAGACAGTAATATTAATGACTCAGATCGTTAAATTATTGTGATCGACAGTTAAATTACTGTTGGAGACATAAATTTAGCAGTCAATACAGTAATATTAATTAAAATAATTTTTTTAAGAAAAACAAAATTTAAAATAAAAAAAAAGTCAACGGCGGTTGACTTGCCGAAAGAAAAAGTTAGAAAAAAATAAAGATTTCAAAAAAAAAAAAATAATAACTAAAAAAAGGTCAACGTCGGAGACAGGCGGTTGACCTGCCAGAAAAAAAAAATTCCGAAAAAAAAATTTTTGAAAAAAGAAAAAGAAA